ATTATATTGTACAATAGTTACCATAATTCATTGTTTTTTAGGTTTAGTATAACCTGCCGATCGGTAGGCTTTACTGTATTGAGCTATAATACCAATATATAATTGAAGTATTTCCGGTAGTATAAATTAGTTGCAAAACTTCTAAAGGCGACTAAATAGTTAACAAAAAAGTTAAAAAAATTAAACCCAACAATGACCAGAAAAGATATTAAGATCGCAACATTGAACGTTGAAGACCTCAATGATGAACAAGTATGTCAGGAAACCTTACAATTACTCAAGCGGCTTAAATTAGATGCAAAATTAGATGTAATTAATTTACAGGGATTAAGTTTATCACAGCAGCAGAGAAATAATGCTAAAGAGTTCCTATGGGATTATGCTTCATTTTGGTCATCAACAACAGCGATTTTAGCTGGAAATGATGATGTCAAATTTGAAAATATAGAAGAAATTGAATACGGAATTACTACTAGTGTAGAATACTATGACAGGACGTATCAAATAACAAATATATACGTCCCTCTTGACGCTGATGAATTAACTTTTTTGGAGTGGATCCCAGATGGAATATACATAAAAGAAAATACTGTAAATGTAATAGTCGGCGAGTTTAATATAAATTTAAGCACATTATATAGTGAAAGATTCTCAGGTTTTACAGACATTGTAGATATATTGGGTGAATCGTTTATTCAGGATATTCCGGATATTCAGGGCGTGCCGAGAAATTGTATCTTTATAGATAATAATTTTACTCTCTTTTGCTATAATGTGGAGGTATTTACCTCCCACAAACATAAAAAACCGTTGGTGGTATGCACTCTCGATCGATTCATCTGGAGACTAAATAAAGAATTGCTTGAAGACTCTAAAACTCAGAGAATGATCACAGATAAAATAGATAGTGTGAACACAGTTTTAGAATGGGATATTCTTAAAAAGCATTTTCAATATATATTTCGGAAACAAAAACCAAGAAAATTAACTTACGATTTAAACTCTTTAGATAACAAGAAGGATCTTTATTATTTAGATCAAGAACTACGGGAAGATTTAATTAAAGCAGGGTGGGCTGACTCTGATAAAAGAGCAACTTCAACAATTCGGAATCCAACGACACCCACCTCTGAAGACCCTAAAGAAATTTTAACTTACATAAGAAATTTTTATCAAGAGCTTTTTAAAAATGATATCATTAACTCAGATATTGCAAACGAAATAACTGATGGACTGCAAAATGTTACTTTAGAACAGAACAATTCTTTAACAAAAGATTTTACTGATGAAGAAATTATTAAAATAATAGCTAAACTCGATAATGGAAAAGGCCCAGGAATTGACGGTCTACCATTTGAATTTTATAAACAATTTCAAAAAGAATTGGTTCCTATTTTGAACATAATTTTTAACTTTATTTTAAAAACAGGTGAATTTCCACCTACATGGTTTAAAAGTCTCATAATTCTACTTCCAAAAAAATCCGATGACTTAACTGATGTCTCTAATTGGAGACCGATATCACTAATAAACGCTGATGCCAAAATTTTTACAAAACTAATGGCTAGTAGACTTAATGAGATATGCACATACTTAATAGGGAGTCATCAATATGGCTATC